GTGTGTGTGTGTGTGTGTGTGTGTGTGTGTGTGTGTGTGTGTGTGTGGCTGCAGGCTGAGGTTGGTGGTTTGGTGCCGGCTCCGTCTCTGCAGCACTCGGCCCCTGTGAGGGTTCACATGAGTGGACTGCAGACTTTTCACAGGCTCTGCACTCTAAAATCAAAAAAGCGTGCTCTACACTTCATCGTCCAGTCCTCCATTGTATAATGACAATAATAAATCCTTGAATGCGTGTGCCTAGAGAGTTTCTAATGTCTCTCATTGTTGCATGAACTCATGCATCAGTGCTTTGGTTTCTGTAGGATCAGTGTCATCCCACTTGGACTGGAAGTTGTGACCCTATCAAACTCTTATGACAGTTTGGACTATTCATAATTCTCTTCCATGTCCATAACATCAACATCAGCAACTTCATAAAACAAATTGTGTCAAAATTGTCCCAGGGCTCCAGACTGTCTGCGACCCAAACATCAGCGTATACGACCCTAAAAGTCTCAAGAGTCACCTCGACTAGCGAGCATGTGGATGGTCGAGCGGTCTGGTGGGACCAACGGGGAAACCTGTGAGTAGTGGAAAAGTAAAATCATAAAATAATTAGTGTGTTCGTTACGTACCTCTGGGTCATCTTCTATCCTTAAAACACTCTGCACCAGATCTCTATGCTGTAGAACAATTTGAACCAAGCATCGGCCACAACATTCAGCATAAAGCAGTGCAACCTGACTTTAAGTTCATGTTCATAACAGTTCCTCTGTGTGCTGTCATCTCTCCATCAGTGAGCGGCAGTGTGGTTTGTCAGTACTGGACCAGCAGCAGCAGGTTGGCACCATGAGTCTGTACGGTGCCGCCGGTGGCGGTGCCAGAGAAAGAGGAGGAGCCGAACATTACCGGGACCAAAGGAGGCGCTCCAGCGACCGCTCACGTGACTCCTCCCACGAGAGAGGGGAGAGCCAGCTGACGCCCTGCATCAGGAATGTCACTTCTCCCACTCGCCAGCATGGTGAGGAGAAAAGAAAGAAGACATGTTATTGTCTAAATTACACAGTCCAAAGTCTCCCAACAGCTTCCATGTGTGTGTTTGACTGGAAGCTCCACTGGTGTTCATGTGTCCTCTTCTCTCCCACAGACCGCGAACGTGGTGATGGAGGCTCGTCCTCCAGGTCCTCCAGTCCTCGTCCTCCCAGGGTTTCTATCCCCTATTCTCACTTTGGTGGGGCCCTGATCGGGGGACACATTCCTCTGCCCCTGGGTCCTCCTGGAGCAGACCACCACTCGAAGCTGCCGGGCCCCGGATCGTGCGATATGATCTATGTGTATGACCTCAGCGGTAAAGAGGGGCATCGCAGTGGGCTGAGGCTGGGAGAGAGAATTACGCTCATCGTGGACAATACCAGATTTGTGGTGGACCCTGCCATCTTCACAGCTCAACCAAACACCATGCTGGGCAGGTAATGTCTGAGACAATGATTTCACTACACAATTACTTGGGATGATATAGAATGCATAAAAGTATGTGAAGAATAAAATGGTAAACAGTCTCCGATGAGTCTGAACGGTGAGTTTGCATTTGCTCCGTCCACTAAGTTCTATTCCCAGAATAAAGGCTGTCTTGTATTCCTGTATTGAGGAAGAACAGCCTCCTCCTCCTCTTTCATCCTCTCCTCTCATGTCCCGAGGCATTCCAGGTGACTGGTTAAGCTTCACCTGGTGGCTCACACTCTATAATGCCATTCTGATGCTGCCAGTTGTCTCATCAATGGTGGAGAGCTTGTTTTAGTCACACCGAGGTGACCAAACACACTTTACAATAAAACAGCACATGGTATTTGTTTATACTGTTTATTGTTTAAGTAACAATTAGTTGATGCTTAAAAAGTCACATAACACCTTTCTATGATGGCTAAACCATAAAGCAGGTGAGCTTATTTTACCAGGATTACATCCATTTACATTGTTATTAAGTTCGAAGTATGAAAGCCACAATTTCAACGTCTTTAATGTGCATAACATGTTAGAACATAAAACAAGCAGCAGCAATACAAATACATGACCAACCACCATCCTTTGGATCTGTTCTATCACCTGTGACCACACGCTGAAGAAACACCTGTCTGTTGTTTGTTTCAGGATGTTCGGTTCCGGGCGGGACAACAACTTTACGCGACCCAATGAGAAAGGGGAGTTTGAGGTGGCCGACGGCATCAGCTCCACCGTCTTCAGAGCCATCCTGGTGAGTTCAGTTGTTCATCGGAACAGCTCTATACACTCTCTCTGTGGACACTGTATGCTTTTTCTACATTTCTTCCCCATTCTATTTTCCTTCCTCTTGTTCCCAGTGAGTTCAGAACCCTCCTGAGACTGCATCTAGTTCTCCCACCCATCTCGCTGCACAAGATGTATCTCACTAACTAGCACCTCTATTTATCTGTTCTTGTTCCCTCTCTGCCTGTCTACCCCCCGCCCCACTGCTCCATCAGTACTACTTGTACTGACGGGGGAGGGGCTTTGCCTTGTGTGTTAATCACCGTCTGGGCTTTTAAGATCTGGGCCATAATTACCAAGAACACTTTTGGCATCATGTGCATTTTTCTGCCAGACCGTTTTTATTTTTTTCTCTTCAGTTATATCATTAGACTTCCAAGTTTGAAAATGAGATGTATTTCTTCTGTCCTGTTGGGAATCAGTCATATATGATGATGGGTTTTTCTCAGAATATAAAGAAGAAAAATATAGTCACCCCAGAACCATGTTATTAATAGAAAGAACACAAAACTTCCCAAAATAGCTTTTTATTCTCAGAAACGATGGAGAGAGGTAAGGTAGTGTGTCTGATGAGAGTATGTGCAAAGTCCATCGTGGACTACGCAGTGAGTTAAAGTGAGACTCATCAAAATCATTCATATCTTTTTTAGTATAAAACACTTTTTTCCTCTCTGTCCCGGCTTCTACTTTGGTCTGTCCCAGGCTATGCTCATTACATTTTCCATTTCATTCAAAATTCTGCAGTCGATTGACAAATGAATCACCTGATGTTTAAATATGATGACTGAGATATCACTGTGATGGTTTACATGTGCATGTGATGAGTTCATGCTAATGGCCATGTGTAATGGTCACATTTAACCAGCTGTTCTTCTAGTGTGTGCTGCTCCTCTCTGCAGCCTCTCTGGGACATTTCTCCTCACAAAGCTGCTTTACTTCTCATACCCACTTTGTTTGAGCTTTGAACTAGCTGACACACTAGCGTTAACGCGTAGCTTACTAGCGACACACAGCAACATTAGCTGCTACTGCATTGGAATAGGTGCTAATATCAGTATCAGATGCTAATGCACTAATCACGATTAACGCCCCAAAATCACAAATGTACCTCAGAGGGCTTTACAATCTGTACACATACAACATCTTCTGTCCCGGGACCCTCACATCAGAACAGGAAAACCCCAAAAAACCTTTTACAGGGAGAAAAAAAGGAAGAAACCTTAGGGAGAGCAACAGAGGAGGATCCTCTATCAGGATGAACAGAAGTGTGATAGATGTCATGTGCACAGAATGAACAACATTACAGAGTGACAACACATTCAATGCATATGACAGAAATTATACTTTTAATGATGACAGTAATAACAGTAATAGCACTAATAGTAACACAATAATAATAATAGAAAAAGTATGACTTCTATCAATAACAGCAGCAGTGGATATGATATATTAATAATAATATTGAAACTAAAAGCAGTTGTAGTAATAGAAATGTGACTAATAATAATAATACTGATAGTAGTAGTGGGTGTCAGGCAGCTCAGTGTATCCTAGGAAGTCTAGGCCTATAGCAGCTTATCTAGGGGCTGGTCCAAGGCAAACCTGAGCCGGCCCTAACTGTAAACCTGAGCCGGCCCTAACTGTAAACCCGACTCAGTATTATCTTCGTAACTGACTCCATATAATCGGGTCGTCATTCAATCAGAGGGTCGGTGGTTCGTGCCCCGGCTCTGCTAGTCCGGGGATCACATCCCCGGACCAGTCGATGTGTCACACAACCCCAAAATTGCTCCCTCAGCTGTGCCTACAATATATGAATGGTTAGATACCTGATGTTGCATGTTGGGCCCCTGTCATCAGTGTATGAATGGGTGACCGATGACAGTGTTAAAGAGCTTTGAATAGTCAAGAGACAAGAAAAGAACTTAACAAGTACAGTCCATTTACTATTTACCATTCCTCCAACAAACAATACTCCTGAAAACATATGTGAACACTCCATTTATCTCTGCTGCAGCCATGGAGAGAGTCTCACACAGAGACAGAGACCGGAGGGAAAGTGGAGCAGGGAGGGAAAGTGAAGTTGGCGTATGCTTTCATCCCCTCCTTGCTCTCCACCCCTCCCCCTTCTCTCTCTCTCTCTCTCTCTCTCTCTCTCTCTCTCTCTCTCTCTCTCTCTCTCTCTCTCTCTCTCTCGCGCCTGTGACGTCGCTGGTTGTTACTTTCATCACAGCTCACTCTCCATCCCTCCCTTTCCTCATCCATCTCGCTCTGTCTCTCTCTCTCTCTCTCTCTCGCCCGCCCGTGTGACCGAAGCAGCATCAATAATGGCGTCTTGTTTTTCCCCCATGCTTGTGTGTGTGCGTGAACACCCTCCGCTCTGCTCGTTCCTCCGTGTGTGTGTGCGCGCTGCTGAACATGGCAGGATTACTACAAGTCGGGGATAATCCGCTGCCCTGACGGCGTCTCCATTCCCGAGCTGAGGGAGGCATGTGACTACCTCTGCATCTCCTTCAACGACAGCACCGTCAAGTGCAGAGACCTCAGTGAGTACACCAAACTCTGCGTGCACGTCGTCTAGCTGCCGAGTTTCTGTGTGGAGCTGCACACTGACTGCTGCTTTGGTCACAGGTCGTGTTCACCGTCTGCTAACTTCTTTTCATTTAGAATACATGAGCAATATTATGTCCACAATACAGGAGGCACTATTGTTGCTTTATCTACAGCATTTACTGCAGCTGCTAATGTAAATGTAAACATTAATATATTGAGACAGGCTCATCTACCTGCTTGTTTACATCAGCGTGGTTTGCTTGAATCCCATTAAGTCATATTTGACGTACCTGTGACGACATAGCAGTGTTCCATGGAACGGCCATGTAGTGACCGGTCAGTGTTTGTGATATCTGTGTTGTGAGCATGTGTGGGTGCCTCTCTGTGAGTGTGGGAGGCTGCTGTGTGTGTGTTTGGCTCTAAGTAGGTCATGATTAGCTGTGAGATGCAATGCTTTTTATGCAGCCAGCCACATAACAAACCAGCGAGCAGGTCTCCTCTACCAACACCAAGGGCTTTTCTGGGTTTTCCTTCTGCAGTCGTTGCTTTTCACTGAGTTTATATTTTTGATTTGAGTCTAGTTTAAATCAGCCTCTGTTCTGGATAGACCCACATGTCTGGTGCTGTATTGCCTGAGCAAGTGAAAAGGAAATGCATTGTTTACATCCATGTTTACTACAGTGTTCTTCTTCTTCGTCTTTTTTGGCACATTTGTCCCGTGTGAACCGGTGGAGTAGCATTTGTATCACATGACCTGCTTGATCTGACACATGCCTCACTAAGCGCGAACAAAACATACAAAGAATGCTCCTGCTAGTTGTCAGATCTCTACCTTGATCAAAAGGTTTAAAAAGCTCTACTGAACGTCTCTCTTTGTTTTTGCATTCATAAGTATTAAAGTATTTTACACATGCGCAGTTACCTTGTGTCATAGTAACTTTCAGTCCGTTTGAGCTCCTGTGATGGTACCCTTCAAAAACATAGTCTAGTGTACATTTTGCGGTAGAGAGAGGTGAGCCTAGTCACAGCAAAAACTCAACGTGTGTGTTCTGTAACTGTAACTAATTCCATCTGAAACACTAGAATGGGTCCACTGCTGTTAGTCTGTTTGTAAATGAGCAGAGGTTGGCTGCCAGCTTTAATATATCATCTGGATAAAATCACCGTTCATTTAAACTCCTGCTAATGCTTAGTAGAAAGAAATACAGGATGCAGCATCTCTGATGTATTTCTTCTGTAACCACATGATATTCGTCTGACGGTTAAAGGAGGTAATAAGAACAGTAGGGATGGATTTTCTGTCTAAGACTGCTGTACAATATTGTCCTACATCCTGTCCTACATCCTGTCCTCATTGTCCTACATCCTGTCCTCGTTGTCCTACATCCTGTCCTACATCCTGTCCTACATCCTGTCCTCATTGTCCTACATCCTGTCCTCATTGTCCTACATCATGTCCTCGTTGTCCTACATCCTGTCCTAAATCCTGTACTACATCCTGTCCTCGTTGTCCTACATCCTGTCCTTTCTCTCCTCACCAACGTCCTCTCGGTTCCCCCTCAGGTGCCCTGATGCACGAGCTGTCTAACGACGGGGCCCGCCATCAGTTCGAGTGTTACCTGGAGGAGATGGTGCTGCCGCTGATGGTGGCCAGTGCTCAGAGCGGAGAGAGGGAGTGTCACGTGGTGGTGCTGACCGATGACGACGTGGTGGACTGGGATGAGGAGTACCCTCCACAGATGGGAGAGGAGTACTCTCAGAGTAAGATACTCCATCTCTTTACACTGCCTAATTCACCCTTTGTTAAGCCCCAAACATCAGTGCATAAGAGACACAGGTCTATTTGTTCAGAGGACAACAATACAACATAGATATATATAAATATAGATATACATATATATGAACAACAAAGTCGTACAGGACAGAGACCTACCCGTCTGACGTATGCAACAGAAAACCTTGAAAAGCCTGAAGCCTTTACAACAACAGGACTGAGCAAACCAAAGACAACTTTTTGGTTTGTTTGGAGGAAACAGAGAGGACACCCTGGAACATGGAGATGTATCCATTATGTAGTGGGGCAGCTGGGGACACTTTAGAGGTTCAGAAGTCAAACAGAGCTTCTGTTCACACAATGATCCAAAGCATACATTTCACTTTTCTGTTTGAGACTTGAACCCACTACGGTGTGTTGGATGGAGACTGATGAGGAACAATGAGTTTAAAGGATTTACTTTAAGGCTGCAACATAACAAAATGTAAAAAACGTGAAGGATCCTTTTAGAGGTGACGTTAGCATGTTCATTGAAGAAGGTATCTTGATGAAGGCTGCCCACATTTAGGAAACACCACTGTATGTTCTTCACCAGTCGCTGAAAGTTTCTCGTGCACCATCTTCTCCGTTTGTAGAATCTACAGCGTCTCAGGACCTCACTAACCTTTTTAAAACACCACGCCGTATGTAGGGCGACTCTAGACCTGGGCCTCAGAGGGTACAGACTCTCTTTATATGGGGGTCTATGTGGAGGATCCATGAGTTGACTTCCTCTTTTCCTCTCCAGTCATCTACAGCACCAAACTGTACCGCTTCTTCAAGTACATCGAGAACAGAGACGTGGCCAAGTCTGTGTTGAAGGACCGAGGACTGAAGAAGATCCGACTGGGAATAGAAGGTACATTTCTTCTGTTATCTGACAACAGTGTTCACAGTCACACTGTCTCTTCCTGTAGTGAACACACCTTCTGCAGCTGTCTCTCTCTTCCTGTAGTGAACACACCTTCTGCAGCTGTCTGTCTCTTCCTGTAGTGAACACATCTTCTGTAGCTGTCTGTCTCTTCCTGTAGTGAACACACCTTCTGTAG